TCCTGAGCAGCTGGGATTACAGGCACGTGCCACCATGCCCAGCTAATTTTTTGTATTTTTAGTAGAGACGGGGTTTCACCGTGTTGACCAGGATGGTCTCGATCTGTTGACCTCGTGATCCACCCGCCTCGGCCTCCCAAAGTGCTGGGATTACAGGGGAAATCAGACACTCTTATCAAGTAGGGCATCCCAAAGGCTTAGATGTCACCTCCTAGGCGCTGAGAGACCAGGCTCTCTTTGGGCCAGGTTAATGTCCTCACTACACAGGTGGGCACACCGAGAGGCCCATTCTACAGCCGAATCAACTGAGGTTCCCTCAGCCGGCCTCCAGGACACAGCCGAGCTAGCGGTGGTGCTTCCTCGGCAGCAGGCAGCGTCTTTCCTTCCTGGCCCAGGCCCAAGCCCAGGAGTGACACCGTCCCCATCCCTCCCCACAGGCCTGAGCCGGGCTGGGCTCCCGTTCGGGCTGATGCGCCGGGAGCTGGCATGTGAAGGCTACCCCATCGAGCTGCGGTGCCCCGGCAGTGACGTCATCATGGTGGAGAACGCCAACTACGGGCGCACAGATGACAAGATTTGCGACGCTGACCCTTTCCAGATGGAGAATGTGCAGTGCTACCTGCCGGACGCCTTCAAGATCATGTCACAGAGGTGAGTGGGCTCTCAGGACAGTTCATGGATGAAGCGACACCTAAAAGCACTGGACATCTGCTGGTACGCCCCTTCACCATTCATCTTTCTGTCATGCATTCAACACGTTTACTGAGCACTTACTAGGTGCTGGGCCCTGCACAAACAGAGGATAAGACTGAGTCCATTCCCCACAACGAGCTTGTGCCCCTACACAGGCCTATACCCATACACACACTGGCAAGTCCCTCCCCCACCAGCCTCTTACTTCCAAAGCTTCCATCCCAAGATTAGCCAGGTTTTGAGATGGAGTCTTGCTCTGTCACCGAGGCTGGAGTGCGGTGGCACGATCTCAGCTCACTGCAACCTCTACCTCCTGGGATCATGCAATTCTTCTGCCTCAGCCTCCCAAGTAGCTGGGATTACAGGTGTTCATCACCACGCCTGACTAATTTTTTTGTGTTTTTAGTAGAGACAGGGTTTTGTCATTGGCCAGGCGGGTCTTGAACTCCTGACCTCAGGTGATCCGCCTGCCTCGACCTCCCAAAGGAGGGAGGCATTACAGGCCTGAGATGAGCCACCATGCCCAGCCTTAGCAAGGGCAGTTTGGAGCTTGTAAAATATAAAGAATGGCAGGACAGAGCGAAGGTGTCATGGGAGGACTTGTCCCTTTATCCCAGACTTTTTTTGTTTTTGAGAGATGGTCTCTGTCGCCCAGGCTGGAATTCAGTGGCACAGTCACAGCTCACTGCAGCTCTGACTGCTCAGGCTCAAGCAATCCCCCGGCCTCAACCCCCTGAGTAGCTGGGACCACACCATGCCCGGCTAATTTTATTTTCGGTAAAAGTGGGGTCTTCTATGTTGCGCAGGCTGGTCTTGAACTCCTGACCTCAAGCAGTCCTCCTGCCTCAGCCTTTCAAAGTGCTGGGATGACAGGCATGAGCCACCCCACCCACCCATCCCAGATCTGAGAGGTCATCAGGCTTCTCCAGGGAGGATAAACCTGAGCACAGATGATGGAAGCACAGGCGTGTGAGTGATTGCGTGTGGGGTGAGTGCTTGAGGGTGTAAGACTAACAATGTGTCTGTGATTGCATGTATCTATAAGTGTGACTGTCTGTGTTTTTTTTTTCCTGAGACAATCTCACTCTCTTGCTCAGGCTGGAGTGCAGTGGTGCAATCTCAGCTGACTGCAACCTCCACCTTCAGGGTTTAAGCAATTCTGCCTCAGCCTCCAGAGTAGCTGGGATTACAGGTACCCACCGTCATGCCCAGCTAATTTTCGTATTTTTGTAGAGACAGGGTTTCCTCATGTTGCCGAGGCTGGTCTTGAACTCCAGACCTTAGGTGATTCGCCCACCTGACTTGACCTCCTGAAGTGCTGGGATTACAGGTGTGAGCCACCGTGCCCGGCCAGTGTATTTGAGTATGAGTGTGTGTGCATTTTTGAATGTGCGATTAAATGTGTTTTTGTGACTAAGTGTGTCTCTAAGTGTGTGTGAACAGGTATGGGTGTGTGCAGATGAATGTGATTAAGCATATGTCTTTGTGTCTGTTTTTATGAGTGACTGTGTATTCTGGGTGGGTGGGTGTGTTGGGGTGTGTGTGTGAATATGGGTGTATGTGTTTGTGGGTGAATATGTAGTTATAGGTCTGAGTGTTTGAGTATGTTTAAGTGTATGTGAGCAGGTGTGGGTGTGAGCATGTGTGTTAGTGTGTTTGACTGGCGGAGACGTGTGTTTTCATGTCTGAAGGGTGGGGTGGATAGGTAAGCATCTGTCGGGGTGGATGGGTGTGGCTGTGTCTTTGTGTGTTTAAATGTGTCTGTGGGTAGATGTGTGTATGTGGACGAGTGTGTGTGGTTGACTGGGAGTGTATTTGTATTTCTTTGAGTGTGTGACTGTGTGTGTGAGCTTGGAGGGGTTGCCCCAGGCTGAGGCATCACGTGTGCAAATCTTCAGAAGCCTCTCTCACATCCACAGTCAGTCCATATAGAGCCAATCAGCCCTTCCTTCAAATTACACCCAGGCTGAATGTGGTGGCTCACACCTGTAATCCTAGCACTTTGGGAGCCCAAGGTAGGGGGATTGCTTTAGGCCAGGAGTTCAAGACCAGCCTGGGCAACATAGCGAGACACTGTCTCTACTAAAAACTAAAAAATAAATTAGCCAGTCATGTTGGTGTATGGCTGTGGTCCCAGCTACTCAAATGACTGATGCAGGAGGATCACTTGAACCCAGAGTTAGAGGCTTCAGTGAGCTATGATCCCAGCACTGCACTCCGTCCTGGGTGACTGAGTGAGACCCTGTCTCTTAAAAACAACAACAACAAAAAGGCCAGGCGGGTGGCTCACGCCTGTAATCCCAGCACTATGAGAGGCCGAGGCGGGTGGATCAGCTGAGGTCCGGAGTTTGAGACCAGCCTGGCCAACATGGTGAAACCCTGTTTCTGCCAAAAATGCAAAAATTAGCCAGAAATGGTGGCATGCACCTGTAGTCTCAGCTACTCAGGAGGCCGAGGCAGGAGAATCGCTTGAACCCGGGAGGCAGAGGTTGCAGGGAACCAAGATCACGCTACTGCACTCCTGCCTAGGTGACAGAGCAAGACTTTGTCTCAAAAAAACCAAAAATGTGTTACTGGGGGATCACTGAGAGCCCCAGGAGAGCAGGAGAGGTTGGCCAGGGGGTGAGAGTGTTCAGGTGGCTGAGACAGCTGGGCCGGGCTGCAGGCGCCTCATCATCTCCTCCTCCTCTCTGTGTCTTAAACTGCCATTCCTCTCCAGGAATCTTGCCCCTCTTCCCTGCTTCCTGTCTCCTGTCACCCCTGCGTGGCTCCAGCCTTTGGTTAGGCTGTGCACCCCCTCCCTGAGAGCCCCCTCCCTCCTGCCTCTCCAGATTCTCCCTGCTGACTTCATCCAACACCAGCTTTGGGGGACTGCATTCTTACCATCATCTCTCTAGCACCTAGTACAGCATCTGGCCCAGTTCCAATCTCCATGGGGAATGCCGTGCAAAACAGTTACTGGGGCTGAGGGAGTACACTGAGGCCTCTGGAGTCCCATCCAGGATTTGCCGGGGGGCCTCAGTCCTGTCTCCCCCGCTGCTCCACATCCATGCCTGGAGACTTTTTTTTTTTTTGAGATGAAGTCTCGCTCTGTCCCCCAGGGTGGAGTGCAATAGCACAATCTCGGCTGACTGTAACTTCCGCTTTCTGGATTCAAGTAATTCTCCTGCTTCAGCCTCCCAAGCAGCTGGGACTACGAGCATGCACCACCACACCTGGCTAATTTTTTGTATTTTTAGTAAAGACAGGGTTTCATCATATTGATCAGGCTGGTCTCAAACTTCTGACCTCGATTGATCTGCCAGCCTTCGCCTCCCAAAGTGCTGGGATTATGGTCATGTGCCACTGCACCTAGCCTAGGTATTCACTTGTTGGTGGACATTTGGGCTGCCTCCACTTTTTGGTGATTGTGAATAACACTGCTGGGAGCATGCATGTACAAAGGTCTGCTCTAACACTGGTTTTAAATTATTTTGGGTACAGTAGTCCCCCCTTATCCACTCGGGAAATGCTCCAAGAACCCCAGTGGATGCCTAAAACTGCAGAGAGCAACTGAACCTTATATGTACCACGTTTTCTCCTATACATCCCTAACTATAATAAAATTTAATTTACAAATTAGGCACAGCTGGATGCGGTGGCTCATGCCTGTAATCCCAGCACTCTGGGAGGCCGAGACCAGCTGATCACTTAAGCCCAAGGGTTCGAGACAAACCTGGGCAACATGGCGAAACCCCATCTCTACTAAAAATGCAAAAAAATCAGCTGGGTGTGGTGGTGCATGCCTGTAGTCCCAGCTACTCAGGAGGCTGAGGCAGGAGAATAATCAGCCTGGGAAGTAGAGGCTGAAGTGAGCCATGATCACACCACTGCTCTCCATCCTGGGCAACAGAGTAAGACCCTGTCTAAACAATAATAATAATAAAATAAAATAGGCTGGGTGTGATGGCTCACGATTGTAATCCCAGCACTCTGGGAGGTGAGGCAGGTAAATTGTTTAAACCCAGGAGTTTGAGACCAGCCTAGGCAACATGGCAAAACCCCATCTCTATTAAAAATACAAAAATTAGCAGGGTGTGGTGGTACATAACTGTAGTCCCAGCTACTTGGGAGGCAGAGGCTGGAGGGTCACTTGAGCCTGGGAGGCTGGGGCTGCAGTGAGCCAAGATTGTACACTGCACTCCAGCCATGGTGACAGAGTGAGACCCTGTTTCAAAAATAATAATAATAAAATAGCCACAGTAAGAGACTAACAACAATAATACATTTTAGTAGTAAATTATTGTTACATAGAATAAGGGTTACCTGACCATAAGCACTGTGATACTGTGACTGTCGACAGATAAATGAGATGACTGCTAGCGACAACAGACAGGGAGCAGATCCAGCGTGGACACGTCGCATACAGCATGAGATTGCATCAGGCTACTCAGAACAGCACACAACTTAAAATTTATGAATCGTTTGCTGCTGGAGTGCAGCGGTACTATCTTGGTTCACCGCAACCTCTGCCTCCTGGGTTCAAGTGATTCTCGTGGCCTCAGCCTCCCCGGTAGCTGGGATTACAGGTGTGCCCTACCACGCCTGGCTAATTTTTATATATTGAGTAGAAATGGGGTTTCACCATGTTGGCCAGGCTGGTCTTGAACTCCTGGCCTCAAATGATCCATCCGCCATAGCCTCCCAAAGTTCTGGGATTACAGGCGTGAGCCACCATGACACCTGATCCCAGTGAGTGAGTGAGTGAGTGACTGATTGACTATTTGAGATGGAGTCTCGCTCTGTTGCCCAGGCTGGAGTGCAGTGGTGTGATCTCGACTTACTGCAATCTCTGCCTCCTTGGTTCAAGTGATTCTCCTGACTCAGCTTCCCAAGTAGCTGGGATTATAGGCGTGCGCCACCATGCCCAGCTAATTTTTGTATTTCTAGTAGAGATGGGTTTTCACCATGTTGGTCAGGCTGGTCTTGAACTCCTGACTTCATGATCCGCCCGCCTTGGCCTCCCAAAGTGCTGGGATTACAGACGTAAGCCACCGCGCCCAGCCAGTGCTCTATTTTTAAAGAAGAGGGTGAGGCGGATGGATATAGACCTTCCCATGTCCCTTCCTGCCCCACCTTTTTCTCCCTCCCTGCTAGATCCTTAGTCCCTTCTTGAGTGTCTGCTTGTGTTCAGTACCCTTGGTTAACAGCAGGACTGAAGGGGAGACACAGGGCCTCTTCTGCTCCATACCTGTCTGGAAACGTCTCAAACTGTGTCCATGCCTGTGTCCTGCCTGGCCTAGCCCCAGCCTGCTGCAAGGAACAGAGACCCTGACAGAGGGGACAGAGAGACAGACAGCAGATGAGACACATCTTTTTGTTGTTGTTAAATACGTTCCCCCTTACATGCTACCAGCCCCTTGGGAAGTTGACAGTGACTTGGAGGAGTTCCCTCTTGGGAACTGAGAATGGCTTTTCCCAGGGGACGCACTCTCCTGGCTGCCCTGGCTATAAGTCTGCACAGCAGCACTGCCCAAAGGGTAGGACGTATCCACGAGATGGTGTGAAGTGGACACAGCTGGACCCTGAACAGTTCATTGATCGTGTATCTGCAGAGGCACCACCTCACGTGTGCGGCTTCACATGTATTACTCTCCATTGAACAATGAAGGGGCTTTAAAGTCCATGTAAAGAAAACTGCCAAGGATATAATAGTGTTGGCTATACTCAGAATGAAAGTGATGAGGGTTGGTCAGGAAAGCACTGTTTAGGGGTGACTCCTCCTTCTCAGCCCTGAGCATGATGCTGTGCTGGGGCTGAAAGTAGAAGAACCCTGATGGGAAAGAGAGAGCAGGCAGGAAATGGAAAACAGTGCCCACACAAGGCCTCTGGGCTTGTTGTGTTAGCCTGTTCTTACACTGCTATGAAGAAATACCTGAGATTGGGTAGTTTATAAAGGAAAGAGGTTTAATTGGCTCATAGTTCTGCAGGCTGTACAGGAAGCCATAGCGACTTCTGCTTCTGGGGAGCCTCAGGAAACTTACAATGCTAGCAGAAGGCGAAGGGGACGCAGGCACGTCTTACATGGCCGGAGTTGGGCGGGGGGGAGCTGGACGTGGTGGCTCATGCCTGTAATCCCAGCACTTTGGGAGCCCGAGGCAGGTGGATCACGAGGTCAGGAGTTCGAGACCAGCCTGGCCAAGATAGTGTAACTCCGTCTCTACTAAAAATACAAAAAATTAGCTGGGCATGGTGGCACGTACCTGTAATCCTAGCTACTCGGGAGGCTAAGGTCGAGAACTGTTTAAACCCGGGAGGTGGAGGTTGCAGTGAGCTGAAATTGCACCGCTGCACTCCAGCTTGGGCAACAGAGGGAGACTCCATCTCAAAAAAATAAAAAATAAAAAGAGAGCGGGGGAAGTGCTACACACTTTTAAACAACCAGATGTCAGCAGCACCAAGGGGATGGTGCTAAACCATTCATTAAAAACCGCCCCCACCATCCAGTCACCTTCCACCAGGCCCCACCTCCAACACTGGAGATCACAATTCAACATAAGATTTGGGTGTGGACACAGATACAAACTATATCACTTGGTTTTCAGCTCCACTGCCTCTTCCCAATTTGGAGGAGTCTGTGACACCCTGACTTGGAACATGCACTGCTCCCAGCCCATTCTATGTCTTTCTTTCCCAATGCCCTGTCTCTCTTCCACAGGTGTAACAACCGCACCCAGTGCGTGGTGGTTGCCGGCTCGGATGCCTTTCCTGACCCCTGTCCTGGGACCTACAAGTACCTGGAGGTGCAGTACGACTGTGTCCCCTACAGTGAGTCATTTTGTTCCTTGTGCAGACATGGGCCCTTCCCCCATGAGTGAGTGAGGAGGAGACACCTTGACCCATCACACAAGTGTGCACATGCATGGGGCCTGGGCACAGGGGGGACAGCCAGGCCTGCTCCCTCCAACACACATTCTCTTCTCCCAGACACCACTGTCCACACTCAGTGCCTGCTCCCCCGCCTCACAGACCGTCCCCTCCTGTGGAAGCACCTTTCCCAGCTCTCCTTACCCCAGCCCCCTCACCCTGCTTCTTCATGCACCCTGTGCTCATTTCCACACTTCCAGGCCGTGGTCCTGTGTGCTGCCTGGCACACTTACATCTCTCTCCTCCCTTGGCCTCGATACTTTTCTTGCCCATCTGCCTCCCTTCTCTTCTTACATCCCTTCCTTTTCTGACCCTTCTCATCCACCTTCTCTTCCTCTCATTCACCCCATTGCCCCTCTCAACACCTTCTTTCTGTAGGCACCCTCACTCCCCACACGCCCCTTCCCAATCATGGAAGCTAGACTATAAACCCATAGAGTGGCAGACCACCCTTTGAGGCCTGGTGGCAGATCCAGGGTGAAGGCCTGGGGAACATTTTCAATAGATTCATAGCTCCCCATTGGTTTCCCCATTATCACGTAGCACTTCCTGTCTGCAAAGGAAGTGCCGCCATGTTTGACTGAGGGTGGCATGAAGAAAGTGATCTGGGGAGCCAGAAGCCTGGCTGTCTTGCACCTGACCAAGGGGAGCAGACAAAGACAGGGTCTCTCCTCCTCAGCACCCTGTCCTTGACATCGCCTTTTTCCTGCCCTCTCTCCTTCCTCCCTCCTTCCCGTTATCCCTTCCCCTCTCCTCCCACAATGGGTTCCATGTAGCCAGCCTGGTGGTAGGGCCTCCGGGCAGAGTGGGGAGAAGCAGGGCCACCAGGGTGTCTGAGTGTGGCGGGCCAGGGTTGGGGACCAAGAGGCCCTCTCCCTCCTCTCCCATCCCACCCCAACCTTCCCTGCCAACCTTTGATTTCTCCTCGCAGGTGACTCGATGCTGGGGAAACAGGATCCCTTCTGTGCTTCCATAATTTTCTTCTTTTACTCCTCGTCCTTTCCTTTCAGCACCTGAGGCCTTCAGCTACCACCGAGGGGGATGCCCATCTGCTCCTTGAAGCCTCCCCACAGCACTGGGGACACGGCCGACCCCCGAGGCTGGGATGGCAGGGAAGCGGGGGCCGGGAGGCAGTGAGCTCAGCATAGAGGGGCAGTCAGATGGGTGTAGTTTCAAGGCTCAACTGGGCTCTTGAGTTTTTTGTCTTTGAAATCTTGAGCAAATTACTTAATTTCCCTGAGCCACTATGGAAGGAGGTGTGAGTTCGAGAGATGATGTGTGAGAAGTGCCTGGCCCAGGGCCGACCGCAGAGTCGCTCCTGGTGGCAGGGTTTTGAGTGTCGAGTGTAAACTTGCCAAGGGCAGAGGCTTCATCTTCATCTGCCGCCCCAGCGCCCAGACCCATGCCTGGTTCAGAATGTGCTCAGTAATAGTACTAATGCCCTTTAAGCCAGCTGAGCCTGTTTATTCATCTGTGATGGTGTAGGGGGGTCAAACACCTTCCCTGGGAAGCTGCAAGGAATAGCGACAGTGTGTGTCAACCTTGTGTGTGCCCAAGCTTTAGATGCAAAGGAAATGGTGCCTGCTTCTGCTTTTGCCAACCATGTGGCCTCACGTCACTGAGCCTCAGTTTTCCCATCTGTAGACAGGTTCTTGAAAGACGGCCCATGAGGTACCTAGCATAGTGGCTGGCCCCTTGTGAGTGCTGGACATTTCGTAGTCTTTGCTTTTGTTGCAACTTCTTGTAATGCCTCTTGTCAATTATGATTATTGCTATGGTAATAGAAATTAAAATAATAATGGATCATGAACCCAACTTCTCTTGAGATAAAGGGCAAAAAAACCTCCGTGGTCCAAGTGGAAGCCAAAGCAAGTAGACGAGACACTCAGGTCAAGCAGCAGAAAAGAAGGTAGGGCAGGAGAGGAGCTGAGAGACCTCCTGGAGCCGAGGCCCTGAGTGTGGTCCAGGGGCCACAACCCACAGAGACAGGCGGGCTCCAGGGACGGAGGGCAGGACAGTTCAGAGGATGGGCAGCCGCCTGTCTGATGGAAGAGAGGTAGCCTAAGCCCTAGGGGAGACAGGAGGCACACATACGCTGTAGATGTTGGGGGCAGAGCTAACTCCTGATCCTCCAGAGGAAGGAGGCTGGAGTTAAAAGAGGACAGGGAGGCCAGGCACTCCCTTGTCCCCCCAAATGTTCGCTGAGCATGTACTGAGTGCTAGGCCCTGGGTGAGGCGCCGGAAAGGGAGCCAGAGGCCACCCTGCAGAGCTCCCTGATGGAACCTTCAGAGAGGGGCCAGGAGAACCAGTCCCTCTGGTTAGAAGTTCCTGAGGTGCCAGGGATGCAGAGGGGAGCAGCCTGGGCAGTAACCTGGCCCAGGGCTTCAGAGGCTGGGGTGACCCCAGTGCTGGTGTGGGTGGCAGGGGGCACGTGATGTGTGGGGACCCTCCCACACACTGGACAAGCCCTACTAACGCTGGATTTGCTTTGCAGCTGAGCACAGTCTAACCGTGCCCCTTCCTCCCCCAGGTGCCGCCCGCCCACAGGGCAGCAGGCAGGGCGGAGCTCCCAGCTCCTGGGCCCCTGGGCCCTGGGTGGGTTAAGCAGAGAAGCTGAGCCTCGGGCTTGCCCCGGGGGAGCCTGGGAGCTGTCTGTGCCCCCACCTGCTGTCCCGCCCAGTCTGTGTCCCCTATTCCCCCCACCTCTCTGCCTCCGTCTCCCCGACCCTGGGTCTCTCTGGGGCCCGGGTGCATCCGCCTGTCTGCCTCTCTGTCGTTCTGTGTCTGGCTCTGCCACCTTCTCTCTGTGTTTGCTTCTTCTGGGTTGTGAGGGCTTGGGGGAAGTCAGCTGGACCTGGATGAGGCCAGCACAAAGGGGAAGCAGTTCAGCCTGTTTCTCGGCTGGGTGGGGGCCCAGGCCCTGGGAGACACTGAACCCCTTCCCCTGGGGCCCCTGGTTCTAGCAGGAGGGCAGCAGGCAGGGTGGGAAGGAAGCCGAGTGGCTCCTCTACCCCACCACTCCCTGGTGCCCCCTCTGACCAGAGCCCACCTCCCACCTGGGGCTCCCCACTTGCTGTCCCCTCTGCACCAAAGGTGCCCCCTCCCACCTGAGGGCTCTGTCCACCTGCCTGCCTGTATCCGCCTTCCACCCCTGTGTCTCTGTGTCTCTTCCCTCCTGTGTGTGTCCCCCTCGTCCCTCTGACGGTCTCCCCGGCACCCTCTTGCCCCACCTGACTCCCCTCAGAGGAAGGGACCTGGGGGCGGGGGCCTGAACTGATGCTACGGAAGGGGTTGGGGAAGCAGGAGCGAGGAAGGAAAGGAAAAGGGGGCGTGTTGCCAGAAAAGAAACGAAAGCAATTTAATCTCTTTTTTTTTCTCTTTTTTTCTTGCACATTTTTTTTTCAATTTGTTTTCTCTCTCTCTTCCGATGCTTAAAGTAGAAGTGGAGCAGAAAGGTAAACGCACTGTTACCAATGCTAACCCCTAACTCACACTTTGTTCTACCTGTACCATACTTATGTGACCTGCCCTCCCTCCCGGCCCCTTCTTCTCTCCCCCACCCACACTCGGTCCGGTCGGTATCCCCCACCCCGGGTTGTCCTCCCAGTGGGGCCAGCCCTGGTGCGGCCACGGGCATCTCCACCCTCCAGATACCCACGGAAGCTCCTCTCTGAGCTTGGGCAGGATTTTCTCTCTTGCTGTTTCTGTCTGTCTCTGTCCCTCCTTCCTGGTCCCTGGCCCTTTCGGGGGACCTGGCCCTCTCTCATACTTCTTTTGCCTCCTTCAGGAGAAGTGTATAAGCATCCAGGGCGGGTGGGGAGGGAGGGACTCCCTTCCCCGGCTCCCCCCCTGGGGCACCGGGTGAGCTGTCTCTCTCTCTCTCTGTCTCTCCCCTCTCTCTTCCTCCTTCCCCTGCACCTTTTATAACATGTTTCTGGTTCAGGGGAGGCGGGATGGAGGGGACACTACTGTTTTCCTTTTGGGGAGCAGATTCCTCCTATGTCTCGGGCTCCTGGTGGCTTAAGTTCCTTCTGGTTTGACGTTTCCAAGGCCCAGAGCTGTTTTGGAGCACGGAGCACCAGTCCTCCCCACCCCCAACCCGATCCCCATCTCTGACCAGCTGGGGGCCCAGCCCTGGGGAGGGGTGTCAGCTGTCCCCAGCCCTGGGAGGGGGTAGCCTGCCAAAAAATGAAAAATGAGGGCGAGGGGGTGGGGGCGGGCATCCTGGAGCGGGGAGCGAGGGGTGGGGGAGCGTGTTTTCTGTTTCTTTCACACTTGCAAAGCTGCAGTCAGGGTTTCTTCTGGGCTGTTGTGGTTAGAGGACCAGGGGAGAGGGGCGGCGGGCGGGGGTGCACAGTCTGGGGACTTCCACAGACTCTGTAATTTCAGGCAGAGAACTCCCTAGTGCATGGGATGGGGCTGTCCATTATTGTCGGGTGCTGCTGCTGAGGGGCGCTTCTAGGGTGGGATGTTAGGGATGACCATTTCCTCCCCAGGAAGTTTTGGGAAATTGACCCATCTGAGGCTGGCAGCAGTGGGCAGGGCTGGAGGAGGTGGCCTTTAGGGATCCTTTTTGCCTTGAAATTACGGTGGTCTGTGGAGCATCCCTTATGAAGGAGGTGGGGCAGGGTCCCTCTGAGCTGCTCCCCTCCCCGTCTTCCCCTCTCCCCCATCTCAGAGAGGCCTGGGCTACTGGCCTGAGGTCCGCCCCCTCACCGCACCCCTCCACTCTCCGCTCTCTCTCCTGGAGTCTCTCTCCCTCCCAGCACCAGCCACTCTTCTTGCAGGCCCACTGGTTTGGATGCGACACCACTGGAGCTTTTCTCTTCGAGGGCCAGGGCAGGGCGGGTGGGGTGACGGGGCAAAGGAGGGAAGAGGCGGGATTGGGAGCTTGGTGCTGGGGAAGGGGCCTTGCTGTCCAAGGCCCCAGACAGACCCTTCCTCATCTTCTCCCCCTCTCCCTGGGGTTGACCTCTAACCACGTTTTTCCTCCCGAGACCCTCTAACCAGGTTAGGCTCTGAGGCCTCCCACCTTCCCCTTCACACAAACACGTCCCCTCAGATGCCACACACCTCACGGGGGGAGGTGGGGCAGGGTGGTGACCGGCTTGGGCAGAGGCCAGTGTGCTGGATGGAGGGTGCAGGCCAACCCCTTGGGGCATCAGGGACAGGGAGATGGCCAGTTGCCAGGGCCCAAGCCAGGGTCACTCTGGATCCTGCCCAGCTCTGTGTCCCAGACTCCCCTCCCTGTACAAAAACTACATGCTCCTGGCTGCTTCGTGCCAGGGGTCCCTGAGCCACCCTGTCCCCAGTGCTGTGAAGGGAGTGCTGCCTTTCCTCTCCCTCCCAAGCCTGCCGGTAGTGGGGAATGAGGACTATCTCTTACCCAAGCTCATCTTGCCACTGGGCTGACCCCCAAGCTGGTGCCAGGTCCCAACCCTCCCTGTTCCCCTCGGGGCCAGCTGCTTTGGTGACAGGCCAAGCAGGAGCAGAGAATTCACTGCAAACCCCCCACCCTCGCCCCAGTGCCCTCGCCCTGGCCTGTGCGTGGGTTCTGCTAGCGGGGAGGTAAGGGAGGCCCAGCCATCCTGGATGGAGGGGTGCGTGGATGTCGGCACTTTGGGAGGAGGTGGGGGGTCTGGCCACACTGACCCCCGGATCAGTCAAGGGGAGGCTAGAAGTAGGTGGCACTGGGACGTGACTGGGCAAGGGTGGGCTGGCCAGCAGCGGCCAACGAGATGCAGTTGAGGTTTTCCTCCTTTTCAGGGATTGGGGGGGTGGGGCGGGGCCCCCCACCTTTCTGACATCAGCGCTGCCTTGGTCCCTCCTCCCGAGCCGGGGATGGTCGCAGGTAAATCGGGGTCCGGGCCAGGGGAGGTGGGGGGCCTGGCTGGGGCGGGCTGGGTCTTTATCCTAGCGCCTGGTTCCCTCCCCTGCCCCCTCCGAACTGGACCTGGGACTGCCCCCCCGAGGGGACCCTCAGTCGGGCCTGGGACTTGGAGTGAATTCTCTGCTCACCCCTCTCTCCTCCGCCAGCACTAACCCTTTCTTCCCAGGTGGTCTCCAGTGCGGCCTCTCACGGAGCCAGGATCTCGCCAAGTCCCCACATCCCCTTGTCTCTCTTCCCTCTGCACAGCTCTCCTCTCCCTCCCCAACTCTCCCGGGAGTCTTGTTCCTCTCCATGTCCCCACCCCCACCCCCACCCCTGTGCACAGTGCCACTGTCTGCTGCTGAGCCAAACCCCATGAGAGACCCTGCCGGCTGGGGGCAGGGCAGGGCACCCTCCAGGAGGGGCCAGACTCTTCTGTTCCCTATCCTAGCCTGGGAGCTGCCTCTGGGAATCCCTTCCTCAGCTACTGACTTCGTGGGTACTGGGTGCGGGGTGAGACACAGGCTGCATCAGGAACCTGGGGAGAGAGTTGAAACCCCTATCCTTCCCCCAGCCTGGAATAGGGGGACACTCCTGACACCCACAGTGGGTATAGAAACATCATTCTACCTTGCAATTTTTGCAGGAGGAAGAAAGTAGAGTTAAAAAAAAAAAAATTGGGTGTGGTTGGTGAAGGATGGGACCCTGGACCCTAGCTCTTCCCTAGGTGGCAGAGAGGAGGGAGAAGGGGCCGGGTGCTGAGTCCCTGGACAGACTGTAGTGGGGAGAACTTGCCCCCACTTAAATCACATGGGACCACCTCTGGGAGGGTTCTTGCCAAACTCCTCCCCAGCCTGTGGGGTCTCTAGCAGCCAGGGAAGGGAAGAGGGCACCACCTCCCCTCACTAACCCCACTCTTAATGGCCTCCAGGATTCACATCTCCAGGGAGAGGGGCAGCTGGGCAGGGTTGGGGGAGGGGGGTCGGGTCCCAGCCCGGAAACCCCCTTCCCATCACCAGCCCTACCAAGCAACCGTGACTGCAGCAGCAGGAGGGGACGACCTGGCTCCCCACCCAGCAGCGTGACCAACTTGCCTCTCTCCTCCCTCTTTCTCTTTTTTCCCATTTACCTCTGCCCCTCTTCTCCCATCTCTTCCCCTCCCGCCTGCCCTGCCCAGTCTTCGTGTGCCCAGGGACCCTGCAGAAGGTGCTTGAGCCTACCTCGACACATGAGTCAGAGCACCAGTCTGGCGCGTGGTGCAAGGACCCGCTGCAGGCTGGTGACCGCATCTATGTGATGCCCTGGATCCCTTACCGCACGGACACGCTGACTGAGTACGCCTCATGGGAGGACTACGTGGCCGCCCGCCACACCACCACCTATCGCCTGCCCAACCGCGTGGATGGCACAGGCTTCGTGGTCTATGATGGCGCTGTCTTCTACAACAAGGAGCGCACGCGCAACATTGTCAAGTATGACCTGCGGACGCGCATCAAGAGTGGGGAGACGGTCATCAATACCGCCAACTACCACGACACCTCGCCCTACCGCTGGGGTGGCAAGACCGACATCGACCTGGCGGTAGACGAGAATGGGCTGTGGGTCATCTATGCGACTGAGGGCAACAACGGGCGGCTGGTGGTGAGCCAGCTGAACCCCTACACGCTGCGCTTCGAGGGCACGTGGGAGACGGGCTACGACAAGCGCTCTGCGTCCAACGCCTTCATGGTGTGTGGGGTCCTGTACGTGCTGCGCTCTGTGTACGTGGACGACGACAGTGAGGCGGCCGGCAACCGCGTGGACTATGCCTTCAACACCAATGCCAACCGCGAGGAGCCTGTCAGCCTTGCCTTCCCCAACCCCTACCAGTTCATCTCCTCCGTCGACTACAACCCTCGGGACAACCAGCTGTATGTCTGGAACAACTATTTCGTGGTGCGCTATAGCCTGGAGTTCGGGCCACCCGACCCCAGTGCTGGTGAGGACGACTCACTTCCAGGCATGGAGCCTGCCTGTTTTTGTCTCCACCCCACCCCGACCCCCACCCTCTGGGTCCCAGGGTGGGGAACCCCATCCTGTGAGCTCTTAGGGATTGGGAGGTAAAGGAAATTCACAGCATGTGACAGAGGCTGTTCTAAGTACTTCACAGCCATTAACTCATCTCCTCACAGTCTATGACACAGGGGTCCTTACTGCCCTGTTTTACACATGAGGACACTGAGGCCCTGCACGGGTAGGGGATTAAGTTATTTGAGGATTTGAACCCAGCCTCCCAACCATTGAACTGCACTACCTCTCCCGAGGGCTTGGGCACCTTTACCCCCTTGGATCCACCAAAATCCTGGGTGGAAGTCCAATATCCACAAAACCAAAGAGCTGAGCTGCTGATGTTGACTGGGTTGGGGGCAACTCCAGTCTTCTCTTGCACCCCTTAGCTGCCCTGCCAGCTCTGTGCAGTCCCACAGCTCCAGGAAGCCCAGTCTAATCCCATCTTGTTTGCAAAATGGGGAGCCGAGGCCTCACCAGAGGGAAGCAGCGTAGTCAGGTTACAGAAGCCGAGGTCAGCTAGAAAGAGGATGGTAGGTAGTGGTGGGGCTGACCTGGACCCAGGAAGGCGCCTCTCTCCTGATCATTCTCTCAGATATTATGGTACACATAGTGAACTTTTACCACCCTTTCATACTTTATATGGTCCTGTGGGCATAAGGGACTTTGGTGGGCACAGAGAGGCGAGGGGAGATCTACAACCAGACCCAGCGAGACCCAACATGTGTTTCCCCTTCAGGAGGTGGTGAAGGTGCTAGGATGGTCTGGGACCCCTGCCTAGCCAGGCACGCTGTGGCATGGCCCTGAGCATGGGGATGACCCTGTCTTGTATCCCCTCTCCAGGCCCAGCCACTTCCCCGCCCCTCAGCACGACCACCACAGCCAGGCCCACGCCCCTTACCAGCACAGCCTCGCCTGCAGCCACCACCCCACTCCGCCGGGCGCCCCTCACCACGCACCCAGTGGGTGCCATCAACCAGCTGGGACCTGATCTGCCTCCAGCCACAGCCCCAGCCCCCAGCACCCGGCGACCCCCAGCCCCGAATCTGCATGTGTCCCCTGAGCTCTTCTGCGAGCCCCGAGAGGTACGGCGGGTCCAGTGGCCGGCCACCCAGCAGGGAATGCTGGTGGAAAGGCCCTGCCCCAAGGGGACTCGAGGTGAGTACAGAGGCTGTGGCCAGGGGGCTAGGGGCCATGCCCCCCAGGGCTCAGCACAGATGAGCATGGGTGGGTGGTGGTGTCCGCTGGGGCAGGGGCTTTCTGAGGGCAGGGGTCATCCCCAGTGACCAGCAGAGCCCTGCACACAGGCCACTCAGCCAGTGCCCCTGGGCCCCCCTGCAGAACCTACAGGGAGCCTTCAGGAGGTGACCGGGTTCCTGGCCTCAGGCTGACCTGGGACAGCCCAGGAACAGCCAGCTTTACATGGGTGGCCAGCTGAAGTGCGAAAAGGGTGGGGCCGTGTGTCCTGGAGATCTGAGGGGAGGGTTGGCAGGTGCTTTGTGGTGGTGGGGGGTGCATTCTGAGATGAGCCTTGATGGAAGGTTCTAATTCTGGAGGCAAAGACGGGGCAAGAGGGAGAGCTCAAGAGGAAGTGAGTGGCGCCTCTCTTGACTGTCTGGCCCGCTTCATGTCTGTTTCTCTGTGTTTCCCTCATGTCTCTCTTTGCCCGCTCGTCCCCTGCTCCATCATCTTTCCCCCTCTTCATCCCATCCTTCTCTTCTTTTTGGCTCCCTTGTCTGTTCCTGTCTGTCTGTCCCTGCAGGAATTGCCTCCTTCCAGTGTCTACCAGCCTTGGGGCTCTGGAACCCCCGGGGCCCTGACCTCAGCAACTGCACCTCTCCCTGGGTCAACCAGGTGGCCCAGAAGGTACCAGCCACTGCCCCTCAAAGGCAGGCATATGTGCTCGGGCCCAGGGCCCAGCGGGGGTTATGGAGCAACTGGGGAGACACGGGCTCGCAGGTCTGGAAGGCAGGACTGTGGGGTCACTTCCCCAGCCCACAGAGGGAGCAGGGACAGATGGGGTGGGAAAGGGCAGACAGCGACGGGGAAGCGGAGAAAGATGGGAGAGGCTGCACAGGCCAGGGAACCCAGGGAGGGCAGGATGGTCCCTGACAGACCTGGATTCTCCCTCCCCACCCCCCACCTTATGCAGATCAAGAGTGGAGAGAATGCAGCCAACATTGCCAGCGAGCTGGCCAGACACACCCGGGGCTCCATCTACGCAGGGGACGTCTCCTCCTCTGTGAAGCTGATGGAGCAGCTGCTGGACATCCTGGACGCCCAGCTGCAGGCCCTTCGGCCCATCGAGCGCGAGTCAGCTGGCAAGAACTACAACAAGGTGGGGCCTGGTGGTGGGGCTGACCTGGTGCGGGGTCACCTGCCCCCAGTCTCCGGAAGTATCTGACCTGGTACCTTCCAGCCCGGCTGCCACCCCCACTCACTTCTCAGAGAGGAAGGAACCCCAAGGACTGCTGGGTGTCACTCCTGTGCTGCCCCAGATGGTCCTGGGGGTTGGGGATCCCTGAAGAAATGTCTTGCTCATAGCTCAGCCCTGGGTCAGTGGTAGCCATAGACGACAAAGCTATCCAGATATGACAGTACTGGGGTTAGGGAACCGGCACCCAGGGGCCTGGCCTGACATCACTTCCATCTCTTTCTAGATGCACAAGCGAGAGAGAACTTGCAAGGATTATATCAAGGTAAGACCTGAGGGGTTCCAGTGTAAGGACCATGGGCTCCAGCTGATGGGGGCTGTGGGGGGCCAGGGAATAGGGTTGGAGGTTGAGAAGAGGGCACACAGAGCCCACCCAGAGAAATTAGGGGGTATTAGGGGGCCTCACAGCACCATCCCCCTGCTTGTGCAGGCTGTGGTGGAGACAGTGGACAATCTGCTCCGGCCAGAAGCTCTGGAGTCCTGGAAGGACATGAACGCCACAGAGCAGGTGCACACAGCCACCATGCTCCTGGACGTCCTGGAGGAGGGTGCTTTCCTACTGGCTGACAACGTCAGGGAACCTGCCCGCTTTCTGGCTGCCAAGGAGAACGTGGGTGAGTGCCGCGGTCAGTCACCCAGGGCAAACTCAGACACAAACCTTAAACCACAGGGTTCTGGCCTGGAGGCCACAGGGGGGATACCCAGACCTTGGGCATCTTGCCACAGGGTCTCGTTATGCAACCTGAGCCCCTGGACTGGTAACAGACCCCAACTGTGTGTGCCTTGCCTTCCCCTGTCCCCACAGTCCTGGAGGTCACAGTCCTGAACACAGAGGGCCAGGTGCAGGAGCTGGTGTTCCCCCAGGAGGAGTACCCGAGAAAGAACTCCATCCAGCTGTCTGCCAAAACCATCAAGCAGAACAGCCGCAATGGTCAGTGCCCCTGGGGCCTCGGGTGGGGAGGCAGCCCCTCATCAGCCCTGTGCCACTGTCTCTGCGCCATTTATGGAGGGCAGTGGTCCTGAACTTCTCCCATGCTAGTGTAAAATTTCAGGGGATTCGTGGGTCCCCTGCCTGAGGGTGAGCCTTGCAGTTGCCAAGTTGGCTCCTGGGCCTCACAGCTCAGAGAGGTCAGGGCTTTGCCCAAGGTGACACGGTGAGAATGGGTGGGTCGGAGGCCCAGCCCCTCTGTGTCCCATCACTGCCCTGCTGTTGAGAACTGCTTTCGGCTGAACAGTGGTCTTGTGGACAGGGCTCCCTGACTCCCACCTGCCTAAGCTGTGGACTGGCTTCAGAGGTCCCAGTGGCCAGCGTGGCCAAGGGCTGAGGAGCTGGCTAAGCTGGGAAGCCAGGGGCCTGGACGGAGGTGCGCCAGCTGAGGATGCTGACACATCCAATCATGCCTGTCCTCGCCAGGGGTGGTCAAAGTTGTCTTCATCCTCTATAACAACCTGGGTCTCTTCCTGTCCACGGAGAACGCCACGGTGAAGCTGGCCGGGGAAGCAGGCCCGGGTGGCCCCGGGGGTGCCTCTCTGGTGGTGAACTCACAGGTCATCGCAGCTTCCATCAACAAGGAGTCCAGCCGCGTCTTCCTCATGGACCCTGTCATCTTCACCGTGGCCCACCTGGAGGTGAGCTGAGCTGCCCCCTCCCTCCAGGGGGGTTGCCGTACCCTCTGTTCCCTGGCTGTGTACCTGCCCCCACACGATGTGCTCACCTCCAGAACAAGTTTCCACTTGAGTGGCTTGGGCTATTTGTCCCCCGAGCTCTCAGAGTGTCCAACGGAGCCTCAAAACCCAGGCACTTCTTTGATACTTGGCACCATCCCTGTAGCCAGGTGTGGGGGGGCCAGAATGGGACTCCCTGGTTCTGACTCCAGTTCTGACACCCCGGCACCACCACACAACAGGACAAGAACCACTTCAATGCTAACTGCTCCTTCTGGAACTACTCGGAGCGTTCCATGCTGGGCTACTGGTCGACCCAGGGCTGCCGCCTGGTGGAGTCCAACAAGACCCATACCACGTGTGCCTGCAGCCACCTCACCAACTTCGCCGTGCTCATGGCTCACCGTGAGATCGTAAGCTGGCTGGCACTCTGCTTCTCCAGGCGGGCCTGCTTGCTGGCCTGGCTTTGCATGGCATCCTAGAGAGGTCATGGGCAGTGCCGGGGAGGCCAGCCTCGTGGGCGTCGGGGGGCCCCTAGTCTTGCTTGGGGCATGAGGCCACGCGTCTGGTTCTCTCTGGTCCTCTGTGGCGTGGTCCCACCTTCTCCCAAGGCACTCTGAAGAAGCAGGTTGGTGGTATGTTGGTCATCTCTCCACAAGCCTTCCAGAGCATGAGGAAGTGAGCGCACTGCTGTGTACAGAGGGTGGAGGCTGCCAGGTTGGCAGCACTAGAGGTCCTCGAGGCCCGTGGCCTTGCCCAGGGCCCTGCCTGCAGCTGGCACCTGGCTGAGCCCAGTGTGCAAAACCAAAGGCCCTGAGCGTGCCCCTGCTCCTATCCCCAGTACCAGGGCCGCATCAACGAGCTGCTGCTGTCAGTCATCACCTGGGTGGGCATCGTGATCTCCCTGGTCTGCCTGGCCATCTGCATTTCCACCTTCTGCTTCCTGCGGGGGCTGCAGACCGACCGCAACACCATCCACAAGAACCTGTGCATCAACCTCTTCCTGGCTGAGCTACTCTTCCTGGTTGGGATCGATAAGACTCAGTATGAGGTGGGCTGGGACTCGAGGGCAGGTGATGGCCAGTGCCTGGGTTGGGGGCCAGGAAAGGGTGACGCCTGCCTAGGCAGCAGCCCTCACCCTCGGTGCTCCCCGCAGATCGCCTGCCCCATCTTCGCCGGCCTGCTGCACTACTTCTTCCTGGCTGCCTTCTCCTGGCTGTGCCTGGAGGGCGTGCACCTCTACCTGCTGCTGGTGGAGGTGTTTGAGAGCGAGTATTCCCGCACCAAGTACTACTACCTAGGTGGCTACTGCTTCCCGGCCCTGGTGGTGGGCATCGCGGCTGCCATTGACTACCGCAGCTATGGCACCGAGAAGGCGTGAGTTGCCACCTCCTGGCCCTGTACCTATTCTCTCCTTCCACCTGGTTCCCTGCTCCGTGGCACCCCTTGGACCAGGACCCTCAGGGCAGTGGCCTCCCTTCCTCCTCATCGCTGAGGCTGCAGCCTCCAGAGTCCTAGGCCTTCACAGATCACAGGGAATGGCCCCTCGGCTTCTCTACACCCCGGCCCTGTTTCCTTTACAGCTGCTGGCTCCGAGTGGACAATTACTTCATCTGGAGTTTCATTGGGCCCGTCTCTTTTGTTATCGTGGTGAGTTGGGAGGTGACACCTCATCTTTCTTCATCCAGGCTGGCCTTGACCCCAGCCCCTGCCCCCCACACTCTCCCCGCACACTGGAACTGAGCTACCAGCTGAGAGAATAAGAGTGCGCTGGGTCCGTGGAGCTCCAGCGCTGAGGGCTGCTCACCGGGGACTGTGATTTGAGCCCCTACCGTGTGTCAGGTCATGGGCCCTGTCTTCCCAGCAGCCAAGAGTGGCAGTAAAATGCCAGTCAGCTCACTGCCACATGATGGGCACCTCAGGGGCAGGTCCGGGGTTCTCCCAGCAGAGGCGAGGGCTACAGCCAAGACTTTGCCAGGCTGGGCCCTAGCCTCAGCACTCATTAAGGGAGGCAGGGCCACTCTCAGCCCAGCCCGTCCCTTGTCCGGCCCTCAGGTCAACCTGGTGTTCCTCATGGTGACCCTGCACAAGATGATCCGAAGCTCATCTGTGCTCAAGCCTGACTCCAGCCGCCTGGACAACATTAAGTGAGCCCCGCCCCTGCCTGCCCCCTGCCCCATCACCCCCCTTGCTGATCCCACTTTTCCCAGGGTGTCCAAAAAGGTGGTGCTGTCAACTCTGGTGACACACATTGCAATTTTAAGTATCAAGAGGGGTGTTTTATTGTATTCACTATGTACCTACTTAATCGGTCTTAGAAAGCGTATCATTAGCACGTCCAACCTGTGGTTTTAGGGGCATAACTGCATAGAGTGACGCTAAATTCAAAAGGTGAGTCTGTTTAAGGGCAACTTAAAGAGAAATAGGCAGCAAGATGTAGCCTAAGTTGTCTGGAAACCCTCAGGCCCAGGCTGGGGTGGAGGCGTCCTGGGCAGGCTACTGCCCTCAAGGCCCACTCGCCCGCCCTGCTGAGTTAGGGCTTTGCAGACAGTGCCCAGGCCCACCCAACGGCCCCCCCTTATTGGCTGCAGGGGAGGCCTAGGCTGAGGCCGTCCCCTCCGGTGGGTACTTTGACACCCCATCTCTCCACCCCCAGATCCTGGGCGCTGGGGGCCATCGCCCTGCTGTTCCTGCTGGGTCTCACCTGGGCTTTCGGCCTCCTCTTTATCAATAAGGAATCGGTGGTCATGGCCTATCTCTTCACCACCTTCAACGCCTTCCAGGGGGTCTTCATCTTCGTCTTTCACTGCGCCTTACAGAAGAAGGTGAGGTCGAGCCGGGGTCCTGGGTCACAGCCTCCCTTGGAGACATTTCCTGGGCACCCAGGAGAAGGAGGCGAGGGTGGAGGGGACTCAGGGCTCCCTGAAGCCCCCAGTGAGTGCTGCAGGCCTTCAGCAGTCAGGTCTGCGTCCTTCAGGAGAGGAGCATGAGCTCAGGACTTAACCACAGGTGAAGAGGGTTCTGGAAAAAGGCAAGGTACAACAGCTTAAAGGAGTGAGAGCAGGACAGATTTGGTGATGGGCAACCCTCACCACCATGAGGACCACAAGTCAGGCCTGGCAGGGGGAGGACTTTGGGAGCCAACCTGAGGGAGCACTGCCTACGTTCATAGTTCTGGAAAGAATTGTGAATTTTGTGGCGATATAAAGGATCTTTTTTAAATAAATGGGTTAAAATATGAGTCTCAGAAAAACATACAGGCTGGGTGTGGTGGCTCATGCCTATAATCCCAGCACTTTGGGGGGCCAAGGCCGGGCGGATCACCTGAGGTCAGGAGTTCCAGACCAGCTTGGCCAACATGGCAAAACCCCATCTCTCCTTTATATAAAAATTAGCCAAGCATGGTGGCAGGCGCCTGTAGTCCCAGCTCCTTGGGAGGCTGAGGCAGGAGAATCGCTTGAACCTGGCAGGTGGAGGTTGCAGTGAGCCGAGATCATGCCACTGTACTCCAGCCTGGGTGACAGAGTGAGACTCCATCTCCAAAACAAAACAACAACAAACACATACAAAGGGCTGGGTGCAGTGACTCATGCCTGTAACCCCAGTACTTTGGGAGGCTGAGGTGGGAGGATCCCCTGAGCCCAGGAATTCGAGACCAGCCTGGGTAACATAGAGACCCTGTCTCTATTTGAAAAAAAAAAAAAAAAAAAACAAAGGGGAAAACAGTATCAGGGGAACGTGGACAGGGAGTGAGGGTCCAGGCGGCACCCTCATGACTGAAGCTGGGGAGACGGAGCTGTGGCATTTGTTGAGTTGGCTCTGGCGGCAGTGCGGGCCATGGAGACTGCTGTTGGACCTGGGGAGTGGTGAGGCGGGTAAGGCTTAAGGCAGGGGATGGCAGAGGCAACAGTCATGAGAATTCTTGTTGCAAGGGAAAAGGTGGTCTGTGTCCCTGCTCTTCCCAACACTGTCCTGGTCCCTCCTTGGACACACAGTCAAAGGCAGTGTCTGCACAGCCCCCACCTCACACGCAGTGACAGTGATGTCCTTTCAGGGGCCCCTAGGTCCCTATGGTCTGATCTGGGACCCTCGATTCCCCTCCCTATCTCTGCTTTCAGACACCTAGATGTGAACCCTCCTCAGGGTACAGCCCCTGTCCTTGCCCCGGCCTGAATGAGGCCTCCTCTGATCTATTTATTTTTTTAGGTTTTTTATTTTATTATTGTTACTATTATTTTTTTTTAGATAGAGTCTCACTCTTTTACCCAGGCTGGAGTGCAGTAGTGTGACCTTGGCTCACTGCAACCTCTGCCTCCTGGGTTCAAGCGATTCTCCTGCCGTCATCTCCAAGTAGCTGGGATTAAGGCAAACACCACACACCTGGCTAATTTTTGTATTTTTAGTAGAGACGGGGGTTTCACCATATTGCCCAGGCTCGTCTCGAACTCCTGACCTCAGGTGATCTGCCCACCTTGGCCTTCCTAAGTGCTGGGGTTACAGGTGTGAGCCACCATGCCCCTGATCTATTTAAAATCACAACCTGCTCCCAGGTCAGCACTGCCTAACCCCCTTTCCAGCCATAGTTTTCTCCATAGAATCTATCATCATCTGATAGCCTGCATATTTATATTTTCATGTACGTTATGTCTCTGTCTACTGAAATATAAGCTCTGAGAGGTAGGTATTTGTGTCTGTTGTTTTCTGTACCATTCCTGAGGCCTAATATATGCCTGGCACATAGTGGATGCTTATGAATGCTCTGTTGCTTTTATGAATGAATAAAAAACGGTCAGTGGCAGTAGAGAACCTGATCAGCTGGCTGTCGGGGGACAGGGGACAGCAGGGTTTCTGTGGCCTGCAAGTCACTGAGCAGGGGAACACAGTCATTGGAAGCTCTGTCTCCGGCCTCCTGAGTCTACCTTGTGCCAGCCCTGTGGGAGTATGGATCACAGAGGAGGCTGGTGTCCCAGCCAGCTGACTGTCCTTGTTCCCCAGGTGCACAAGGAGTACAGCAAGTGCCTGCGTCACTCCTACTGCTGCATCCGCTCCCCACCCGGGGGCACTCATGGGTCCCTCAAGACCTCAGCCATGCGAAGCAACACCCGCTACTACACAGGGACCCAGGTATCACGCCAGGCAGGGCTCCCCGGGGCTGAGTGTTGGAACCTGGAGCCTGAGAGGCGGGGAGTGGCTTGGCCTGGGTCTGTGATGGCGATGATCGGGCGAGCAGTCTCAGATGCCAGAGGGTGGGTGGCCCAAGGGTCCCCTCACATCCGGGTTGTGTCCCCAGAGCCGAATTCGGAGGATGTGGAATGACACTGTGAGGAAACAGACAGAGTCCTCCTTCATGGCGGGTGACATCAACAGCACCCCCACCCTGAACCGAGGTGAGAAGGGTCCCTCTGCCTCTGGCTCTGGTCTCTCGAGGCTCCCGGCTGCCTTGTGACCTCTGATCCCTTGGCCAGGTACCATGGGGAACCACCTGCTGACCAACCCTGTGCTGCAGCCCCGTGGGGGCACCAGCCCCTACAACACCCTCATTGCCGAGTCAGTGGGCTTCAATCCCTCCTCGCCCCCTGTCTTCAACTCCCCAGGTGAGGGCACAGGGGAAGCATCCAAGTCGGGAAGTGTGGGGTTTACGTCCCAGGGGACCCCCGCCTGGGATGTTCTATGCCCCAGAACTGGAGCCTGGACTTGGCATTTCAAGCTCACCCTTGCCTTCTCTCTTTTCTCTCCTGGCTGTCACCTGCAGGGAGCTACCGGGAACCCAGTAAGTGCTACTCTTCCCTGGAAATGTTTCCGAGACTGGGAGAGGGACAGACAGTGGCCTTCTCAGATGGCTCACTTAAGGAAGAGAACTTGGGATGCCCTCCCCATCCCCCCCTGCCCCCACCGAACAGTCTGGCTGGCAGCTGGATAGAGGATAATCGGTGGTGGTCATTGAGTTTGGGCCTTTAGGTGTGAGGGTCTGAGCACAGAAGAGGGATTCTGTCGCCCAGGCCTCCTCATATTGCTGAGATTCTGAACCTCCAGCTGGGCGACGAGACCCTGGGGGAACTGGTCCTTGTCCCCCAACTTTAACCAATCTGCTTTTGGGCTGCTGCCTCTACTGCCAGTGAGGGAGAAAGCGTATGTCAGACTAGAGTTCCCATGGGGCAGGGGGAAGCCCACAGAAAACCAGCAGGAATGGAGCCCCACTTCTCCCGATGGACCCCCAGTGCAGCCAGGGCCCTTCTCCCACCTGACCAGCCCCTTTTTGCCCTGCAGAGCACCCCTTGGGAGGCCGGGAAGCCTGTGGCATGGACACCCTGCCCCTGAATGGCAACTTCAACAACAGTTACTCCTTGCGAAGCGGGGATTTCCCTCCCGGGGATGGGGGCCCGGAGCCACCCCGCAGCCGGAACCTGGCTGATGCCGCAGCCTTTGAGAAGATGATCATCTCAGAGCTGGTGCACAACAACCTGCGGGGGAGCAGCAGTGCAGCCAAGGGCCCTCCACCACCTGAGCCCCCTGTGCCGCCTGTACCAGGGGGCGGGGGTGAGGAAGAGGCAGGCGGGCCCGGGGGTGCTGACCGGGCGGAGATCGAACTTCTCTATAAGGCCCTGGAGGAGCCTCTGCTGCTGCCCCGGGCCCAGTCGGTGCTGTACCAGAGTGATCTGGACGAGTCGGAGAGCTGCACGGCCGAGGACGGCGCTACCAGCCGGCCCCTCTCCTCCCCTCCAGGCCGGGACTCCCTCTATGCCAGCGGGGCCAACCTGCGGGACTCACCCTCCTACCCGGACAGCAGCCCCGAGGGGCCCAGTGAGGCCCTGCCCCCACCCCCTCCCGCACCCCCCGGCCCCCCTGAAATCTACTACACCTCGCGCCCGCCAGCCCTGGTGGCCCGGAATCCCCTGCAGGGCTACTACCAGGTGCGGCGGCCTAGCCATGAGGGCTACCTGGCAGCCCCAGGCCTTGAGGGGCCAGGGCCCGATGGGGACGGGCAGATGCAGCTGGTCACCAGTCTCTGAGGGGACCTCATGGACCAGGGGCTGGTGGCCCAGGCCAGGGAGGGAACCCTGGGCAAGGCTCTGGTGGGAGAGGGAGACAGATGGAGGCAGTGGCTGGTGGGCCACTCTCCTGATGCCCCTCAGCCATGGGCCCTACAGTCCCCTCAAGGGACTCTGACCTAGGGGCCTGAGGTGCCAGGGCTCACAGACAGGGTTTCCCACCAGCCACATGCACCAGCTCTATTTAGGGGAAGTGTAGTGAGGAGGAGCCCAGAGGTCCTAGGGGAGGGAGGAGGGAGAACTTGGAAGGGTGCAGCCCACTTCCGGACTCTCCCCTCTCCCACCCTTGCCACTGCCTGAAGGGAAACGAGGGCTTTAGTTTCCCTGGGCAGGGAGGGCAGCTTCTGAGGTTGCCAAAGGCCCCACTGGATGGCACCTGTCAGCTGCCCCTCTCCACAGTCAGAAATGCTGCCGGCTGCACCCAGAGGGAGCAGCGAGGCGGGACACATGGACACGTTCCTCCTTGAGCTACAATTCCCTGCTCCCTGGAGACTGGGAAAAGGCCGAAGGCAGAGGGACTGGGCGGTGGTTTAAAGGTCGAACTTTCTCTGAAGCTCCTTTCCCCTTGCTCTTGGTCCCTGCCCCCCAAGCAAGCCTGCCTCCTCCACCTCCCAGTGTACCCAATGACCCCCTCCCTTGGGGTGACTCCTGATGAAGCACAACTCCCTGCAGGGCCCCCAGCCCACAGGGGTGGCCATATTTGGGCAGTTCCCAGTCCTGTGGGCTTGGCTATCTGGGAAGCAGATTTTGGGTCTGGATTTCCCTGGGGAGTGGGTCCTGGGCTTGGATCTTTCCCTAGGGGGCCCTCTTATCCCTTCCTCTCTCCTCCTCCTCCCCCATTGCTGTAAATATTTCAACGAAATGGAAAAGAAAAAAAAAAAGACAAAAAAAAGACAAAAAATCTCATCACTTGAAGCCACCGGGAGCCTGCGGCCCGGGCAGACCAGCCCGGGCTTTCTCCAGAGCAGAGTGGCGCTGCCGGCCTGGCAGCCAGGACTTCTCCGCGTACGTGCATCCCCAGTCCCCGCCCAGGCGGGCGGGCCGCCAGAGCAGCTTTTTACAATCCAGAGACAGAAAACAAAATCTAGATGCAACAGCGAAACAAAGAACCCATTTCCTTCCTGGCACCCGTTTCTGTCCCCTCCTTTCCTGCTCCACCTGCCTGGCATCATCAGCCCTCCTGGGGCGTGTACCTCACTGCTTGCCCCAGGACCAGAGGCCTGTCTCCCCCTCCCCTCCCCACTGGCCCTGGGGGGACCCCCTCACACCCAAAGATGCTTTGCCAAGATGGCTGCGCTGTCCCTTTGAGTTCCTGCTTCTTGTGTATTGTTTTGGGGACTCTAGCCGGGGAAGATGGGGCTGACTTCCCACCTAGCGAGGTTGATGGTGGAAGGAAAATGGAGAGGAACTGGGGTTGTGGAGGGCATGGGTATGGCTGAGGAGGGTGCTAGGGCGGCACGGTTGTCTTCTGTCTGAGGGAGGGGGAGAGGCAAAGGTGAGAAATCATCTCCCCTGCCCTCCACCCTCCCGCAGGGGAGACGAAGCCAGGGCTGGGGTCAGGATATCCATGTTCTGGGGGGGCTTGACCCCAAATCCCAGGCCTGGAAGCTCCAGGCTTGGGATGTCTCCTGAGCACCTCTTGCAGCCCCCTCCTCTCCAGAGTGTCCACCTAGCCTCCCCGGCCCCCTCCCCTCAACTCTAGGGGTATCATAGTCCCGAGGGCACCGTAGCCCAGCCCCTGCTTTGCCATTTCCCCAGGGGTGGCCCCTCCACCTCTGCTCTGACCTCTCCCGTCTCTTGCCCCTCCCTCTTTTCTCACAAGTGCCATGAGTTTTCAAACATCTTCGGGTCTCAGCCTGCTGCTGCCATGAACTTTGTTGGGTTAAGGGGGAGGGGCTCTAGGAAGGAACTGGGGGAAAGGGACAGGTAGGTGGCTGGAGGGACCCTTTTTGCTGCTAGAAAGCCCCTCCCTTCTCCTGGGGAGCTGGGGCTGGCTTGTCCCATCAATTAGGGGAGAAGGGGTCAGACCAAAGATGGTGGTTTGTCCCGTGTAAGGGAACAGGTGTGGGGAAGAGGTGAGGTTGGGTTCCATCTCTGGCTTTTTCTGGTAGAAAGGCCTAACCCATTACACCAGAAGACCATGGGTGAAGTCTAGATGGGGAGAAGTGAGGCCGGGGACAGTCCTGCCAGATGACTCCAAGGAGGGCAGGGGACAGTTCGTGGCTCTTTCTGGACTGCACTAGGCAGGGAGCTCTGTTGTGTGGAGGGGCGGTCAGATGTCTCTGAAAAGTGGGCAGGAGGCATGGGCAGGTGAGGAGCTGGCCTGGCCCGGCCTGGGCAGCAGCCCAGCTACAGCCTGTGGCTGCCCCTGACACCAGGAGGGGGGCCCGGAGAGTTCCATGGGGGTTGGGACGCAAAGGGAGGCCCACTTCCTCCCTGCCCAGCCCTGCTTGTATCTCTCCAGACTTGGACAATCAAAGGGAGAGGGTATATAGCAGGTCCAGTTCCAGCTAGCATTGCCCAGTGGCTGCTAGGCCTCAGAGCTGTGTGGCAGGGCCCCCTGCTGGGGCTGGACACCATTGCAGTCCAGTGCAAAGCCACCCCCAGAGCCCAGGTGTCCCCCCGACCTAACCAGACCTGGTGCCTTGACGCCCCCACCCCAGCTGGGACGGTACAGAGAAGGGTCTTGGTTTCCTCTCCTACTCCTGTGGGTTCCTGAACTCATTTGCTCCTAAATCTTATTAATTCTTTTCCTCTGGATTTTGGTTTATTTTGGCTTTCCCTGGCCTTCTCTTTCTGTCTCCACCTCTCTTTCCCCATCTCTCTTTGCCCATGTCTTTCTTGCTGTCTATATGTTCCTCTTCTCTCATCCTCAACTTTCTGTCCATTCGGGCCTCCTCCCGCCTCCCATGCCCCCAGCCCCTCCCTCCTTGGTCTCCTTTTCGATATGCCAAACCAATTTTGGGTCGAGTGCATTTAACGAGAACAAAACAAAAGGCTCATAACAACAAGAACATTTCAGAAAAAAACAAAAAGTTTAAAAAAATTTGTTGAGTCAAAAAGTCAAACAATAAAGAAATTAAGATTTCTTGGAATGACAAGAGTGGTGTGAGTTCTTGAGCAGGGGAGTAAGAAATGGGTGAATAGCTGGGCGCAGTGGTGCGTACCTGTGGTCCCAGCTACTCAGGAGGCTGAGACTGGAGGACCTCTTGAGCCCAAGAGTTCCGGGCTATAGTGCGCTATGCCAATTGGGTGTCCGCACTAAGTTCAGCATCAATATATGGTACCTCCCAGGAGCAGGGCCCACCAGGTTGCCTAAGGAGGGGTAAACCAGCCCAGGTTGGAAACGGAGCAGGTCAAAACTCTCATGCTGATCAGCAGTGGTATCACACCTGTGAATAGCCACTGCACTCCAGCCTGGGTGACATAGTGCGACCCTGTCCTTTTTTTTTTTTTTCAGGGGTAAACAGAGGAAGACCCTGTCTCTTTTTTTAAAAAAAAAAAAAAAAAAAAAAAAAAAGGTGTGAATAGCCAGGCAAGGTGGCTCAGGTCTTTAATCCCAGTACTTTGGAAGGCCGAGGTGGGTGGATCACTTGAGGCCAAGAGTTTGAGAACAGCCTGATCAATATGGTGAAACCCCATCTCTACTAAAAAAAAACAAAATTAGCTGGGCATGGTGGCAAGCACGTGTGTGGTCCCAGCTACTTGGGAGGCTGAGGCAGGAGAATCGCTTGAACCCGGGAGGTGGAGGTTACAGTAAGCTGAGATCGCACCCCTGCACTGCAGCCCGGGCTACAAAGCGAGATTCTGTCTCAAAAAAGAAAGAAATGGTTGAGTAGATCTGCACTGGGGTGTCCCCATGGGCCCTGGGCTGCACTTGAGCATTCAGAATCAGAACCCCTGGCCAAGGCCTGGTAATAAAGAATCATTATCGTTTATAAGACATTGGTAAGTTCCTAGGCCTGGTGGAGCAGTTCATGTGCAGTTTCTCTGAATCCTCACAAAATGCTCCCAGGTAGAGACGGCAATTACAGCTCCATTTTACAGATGGGGAAACTGAGGCTTACAGCCCTTAGATGTATGCCCAAGTCTTTCTGGCTAGGACACTGTCCCATGCTGTGTCTCAGAGAAGCCCTTCTTGGTCCAGATGTCTGTCCCCAGGCTGTACTAGAGCAGAGGTCAGGAATTTTACACTGACGTCTCATTACAATTACCATTCCTAGACTCCACACGCTACTGGTGTGGAGCGCTTTCAAACTTGACACGGTGAAACTGCATCATGTATATTTCACATTCTCCGTTCACCAATGAACTGCCCATGCTCAGAGAGAGAGGAATAACTCTGGGCCCCTCTGACTTAGACACCGGCTCTAGGATACCACACTCCTGAGTTTCCACCCACTCCCCAACAGCCACTCCCTCCCAGTCTTCATGACTGGCTCCTTCTCATCTAACCTCCTAATAATGGGTATCCAGGGGCTCAGTCCTCAGACCTTTTCCCTACCTGCTCTCCCTCCCTAGAAGGTCTCATCCCACCTCATGATTTGAAATGCTACCTATATACTGATGACCCTCGAACATAGATCTCCAGCCTGAACTCCTAACTGAGCTCCAGATATACATATATTCATCTACCTACCCCATAGCTCTCCCTGGTATCTGGTAGAATCTCAAACTTAACCTGTCCTAAACTGAGACTCTGGCATCCCCTACCCCCATCTCTACCACTGCCACCACTGTAGTTCTTCCCACATGAGGGTTTAGGGCTTCCTCACCTCAACTAAAAGTGAGTCCATCCATCCCTTCACTCAAGCTACAGACCTTGGAGGTTCCCTTGAACTCATCTTGTTTGATCCCCCACATCTAATCTGACAGTGAATGCAATGGTGGCTCTACCTTCTAAATATCGAGAATTAATCAGTTCTCACTTGTGTAAGGCTGGTTGCCACTCCGGGAGCTTAGACACGCCCATCCCTCTCCACGCCTGAAAATTACATCACCAGAATCTACACTCCGCATCTAGCTTCGCCACACCCACCTCTGCACTCAACACTAAACTCTGCACTTGGCACCTAGCCCGCTGTTGGAAATCCCCTCTGCACTCAGCACCAGGATCTGCACTGGACACTAAACTCTGCACTC